TAGAAAACTTCATCACATAAACATATTTTAGTAATTATTAATTATGAAACTTGCTTTTAAATTCTGCTAGTAGTAAATAATTTAGCTTTGATAATATCATAAACTTTCGAAATTAGTGACAATAATTTCGTTTGATTTCTATAGATTTCCTAATTAATTTATCATTTCAAATTTAAACCTTCCCTGCGGGATCGATATTTGGGACTTAAAAAGAATGTCTTATATTATTTGACAAGGATATGTATACTTGCGTAGAATCTCAACTTTAAGTGTTTAACGTTATTATTCATAAAATACCACAACAAGTTTTTGGCACCGTTATAAAGCAGAGTCAACTTTATAGATTTTACACAACTATATTCACCGAGATCAAGTTTTTGGCGCCATTGCCGGGGAAGGTAGCGGTAAATTAAATAGATTTGGTAAATTAAAAAATTTAGAGATAAAAATATATAAAATTGAAGCTTAAAAACACTTCAATTTGGAGTTCGGCGGAGTTTTGTGAAGGGACATAAATTTGCTCTGGATTTCAAGTGAGAAATTGGGCTTTAGTAGTGGAAATGGATGGCTGATGACTGTGGGATGGAACTTAGGAAAGCTTGAAGAGGCTCTGAAATGATTTTGGCAAAGTTTTCCTAATAAATTGGATGCTCTTTTTCTTGGTCGTAGAAGGTATGGTTTAAATAGAGGGAAAAGGAGAGGCCACCATGGTTGGCCAGTGGGTGCAAGGGGTGGCTTAGGTGGAGGGCTGAGTTTCACAAGTGACCAATTGGAATGAGCCAACTCAGGGATTCAAATTTGGAGTTTAAGCTTGGGGGTGGCTCTCAATTTTGGTGTCTTCCAGCCAGTAGGCCGGCGACCAAACTAGGGCTGGTGGTTAAGTGGCCAGGTGAGCCAGTGGGAGGGTTAATTATGATTAACTCTGAATGGTTAAGATTTTATGGCAAATATATTTGGGTTTAGCCAAATATGGGAAGAGATCCCCTAAATCAAGAGTCTTATAGTCCATGGCTCATGTAGTATGGGCTAGGTGGGTCTAGCCTAGTCTCTAGGGTCCAAATGTTGGTTGTGGTGGCTATGGTTTGATCAATTTGGCTAAATTGGTTACATGCATGGCTTGGGTTCAAAATCATGCAATGGGCTTGAATTTGAGTTTGGGTTTGGCTAGGCTCTGAATTTGGTTTAATTGATTGAGCAAATTGGCTTGAATAATCTTCATGAGGAATTTGGAAATGGTATTAAGTGATTTTGAATTGATTTGGAATGTCAATTTGGTGGAATTTGAGCTTTTGGTCAATCTTGGGCAATTTTGGCTTAAGTTGGATTTGGGTGAGCTTTGAGTTTAAATTTGGGTCAATGGATTGTTCAAACTGATTTTGAAGGTGTTATGGAGAAATTAAAATTCAAATTTGGGGAAATTGATTTGATCATGGACTTCAATTTGGGGAATTTAAGGGTATGGCTAAAATTGGGGATTTTGTATTGAGCTTGAAATTGAACTTGAAATTGGATTCAATTAGGCTTGGATTTGGTTCCAATTAGGATTGGCGATGATGAATTTGAGTTTGGAATTGAAATTGGGGGAGATTGAAATCAATTTGATGGAAATTGGGAATGAATTGGGGAATTTGGGCCTTTAAGGCAATTTGAGGATTATGGTTAAAATGAGTCAATTTGGTCAAATTGGGCCCAATCGAGTGGTTCAAATTGATTTTGGGGACATTTAGAGTGGTTTTGGAGATTTTGAGTATTTTTTTTTGGAGATTTTGAGAATTTCTTAAATTTTTTAGGGTATTTTGAGAATTTTGGAAAAATTTGAGGTGTTTGGTCAATTTGAGTGGTTTGGAAGAGTTTGAAATGATTTTTGAAGAGATTCGGAGAATTTGGATTATTTTAGGAAATTTTGAAAATTTTAGTGTTTAGGGGCAATTTGGTAATTTGATGAAATTTGGGGCCAAGAAAGGTCAAATTTGGGAATTTGGTAAAATTAGGATTGATTGAGGATGTTAATTATGAGGTCGCCCTATTTGAGCAATGGGACCAAGGGAACTCTCATTATGGATCCTCCATGTGCTGGTTTTAATCATACTCCAGCTCAGAGCTAATAATTTGGGGGACTATCCACATGACTACATGAGTTTCTAATAGAGTAGGGGATCAACTAAGCATATTTGGCTAAGGATGAGGTTGTGAGTGTGAGAGCAAGTGTGTGTGTGCAAGACTGACCAGAGGGTTAACCTTGGGGCCAAACAGTCCTATGGAGACTCCTCTTGAGCTCCCCCATATTGGTCCCACCAACTAAGTGCTAGAGGTTGGAACCAAAATGTGAAATTTTAAAAATGAGCAAAGAAGAGTTTATAATTTATATTAGTGAGGGTACCATCACTAGTCATCTAGGAATGGTCAACAGGAAAATCTTATGGCTAGATCCTAAGTCTCTAAGGAAGAAACTAGACCTCAACCAAAAGTGAGGTCAACAAATGGACCCCAAATAGGTGTGGTATGTTGGGCATACACTCCTCATGTATTGGTGTTGACCAACAAGATCAGCAAACCAACACAATTGTTTAAGCCGACAGGCTCAGAGCAGAGAAGAGAGAAAATGTGGAGAAGGTTTCTGCTAGGGAGCTTGCAGGGGCTCCCACTGGGATTGGCGAGTGCACCTTCAGGATATCAATTTCAAGAATGAATTTGAAATTTACAAAGTAATTTGTGCCTACCGACCCAAGTGAAGGGTTACACAACATATTTACGGAGATACCACCAGGGAAACTGGCTACCGCGAGGAAGACTCGATTTCAAGTTCAACTTTAATTTTAGTGAAAATTAATTTCGGACGACGTAAATATGCGAAGTGATCATATCAATATGGAATGCACAAAGACTCATATCCAACTCAAAATATACCAAAAGGGAATCAAAATTTAGGTACTAATCCAGAGATGAGAATTGAAATTAGGTATCAATCCTGAAATGAAAATCGAAAGTTAGGTACCGACCTCGAAAAGAAGGGAATCAAAATTTAGGTATTGACCCCAGAATAGGAACTAGAATTTAGGTACGAACCCCAAAATGAGAATAGAAATTTAGGTAACAACCTCAGAAAGAAGGGAATCCGAATTTAGATACTAATCTCAGAATGGGGATTGGAATTTAGGTACCAGGCACAGAATGAGAATCAGAATTTAGGTACCAACCTCAGAAAGAAGGGAATCAGAATTTAGGTACTGACCCCAAAATATGAATTGAAATTTATATATCAACCCTGGGATGAGAATCAGAATTTAGGTATTTACCTCAGAAAAAAGGGAATCAGAATTTAGGTACTGACCTCAGAATGGTAATTGAAATTTAGGTATCAACTCCGATATGAGAATTAGAATTTAGGTACCGACCTCAGAAAGAATGAAATCAGAATTTAGGTACTGACCCCATAATGAGAAATGAAATTTAGATATCAACCCCGGGATGAGAATCGAAATTTAAGTACCGACTTCAGAAAGAAGGGAATCAGAATTTAGGTATTGATCCTGAGATAAGAATTGAAATTTAGGTATCAATTCCGGAATGAGAATCGAAATTTAGGTGCCGACCTCAGAAAGAAGAGAATCAGATTTATGTATTGATCCCAAAATAGGACCTGAAATTTAGGTACCAGCACCAAAATGAGATTCAGAATTTAGGTATCGACCTCAGAAAGAAGGGAATCGGGAATTTAGGTACTGACCCCAGAATGAGAACTGAAATTTAGGTATCAGCCGCAGAATGAGAATCAAAATTTAGGTATCAACCTCGAAAAGAAGAGAATCAGAATTTAGATGCTGACCCCGAGATGAGAATTGAAATTTAGGTATTAATCCCGGAATGAGAATCGAAAGCCTTATGTCATTTAAGGGGGTCTCACACTTATCTCGAAAGGGTAGTGAATAGGAAGCCTTGATTTAATAGGAGGGTTGATTCCCTCAACCTTTGGAATTTGTTTTGAAAGATTGCAACAGGAGGGGCTCCTAAAGCAACACAGAATTAGATGTAACACCCTCAACCTCTAAAATATGATTTGAACCATTGCAACAGGAAAAACTCCTAAAGCAACATGGAATCAGATTTAACATCCTCAATCTCTGAAATATAGTGCTTCGAACTTGTAGGAAATTTGTGGAATTCGTGAAGATCGACAATAGTGAGGAAATATTTGTGGGATTTTGTGAACGGTGCTAAACTTTGTGGGAATGTAAAGAAATTTGTGTAGATGGCGAAACTCGTGCTACGAAAGTACCAATTTGAGACCTCCTTATCAACCTAACTAACTCAAACCAACAATTTAAGAAAAAAGAATTTGTCATTAGAGGAAGTTATATTACAAATGGGAATTTTATGATTGTCTAACCCACAACCAACTCCCTAGTTTGCAACTACTAAGAGAGGTCCAATATATCGTCATTTCAGATAGAGATAAAAAATTTATGAGCAAATTTAGGAAGACTCTATAGAATAAACTGAGTACAAATTTCAAAATATGTTCAACACGGATAAATGGCTAGACCAAAAACACCGTCGAATGATGCATATCCTCATCCAAACACCGTTAAACACACACATCATCCATTCCTTAGCTATTCCCCCACCACCCCCACTCAAAATCCACTTTCAAACCATGTTCTAACAGCCCAAGAGCGATAAGAATTAGATTTATAAATATTGTCTAATTTTATTTTAAGATTGTGATGTCTACAATTATTGATAATCGTAAATTGAGATTGAAGGACTATAATGTAAAAGGGTATTTACAAACATACCGCACAATTCTTATGTATATACACATCCAACACACTATATTTTTTAAGTAAAATACAGCTTTTCATGCAATAGCTTTATAACACCAAAGCTTGATAAATGTAAACATCAAACTTAAGCATTAGATATGTAAATACATACGAATTATGTGGTATCTACGTAAATTTCCATAATGTGAATTATTCAAAGCTAAAATGACACAAGAAGATCAATATTGTATTATCAAGCAGGTAATCTTTCAAAAGAGTATAATTACAGCAAATGAGATTTACAGGTATGGAGCCCCTGTCATACAATTTACCTTCACCCAAGCATGAATGAAAGAATCCACCCCTCAGCTCTCTCCCATACAATCTACAGAACAGGCACCGATATTCCCAGTGAAACTGAAACTGATACATCACCTGTAACAAAGCTCGAATTCCTTCTCATGGAGCTGTTTCTCGCAGTGTACTCCCATCCACCGCCAAACTGCACCGCCGTCGCCGCCGCTATCTCGCTTCTCTGGCACAACTTGACAAGCGAGGCCGCCTTCCTCCTCGCCCGCCTTGTACCAGTGAACAATATGGTCTGTATGAGACCACCCAATGCCGGAGTCCGTGCCACTTTCTGTGTCAAAGCAATCCCACCATTCCTGCAAAGCTCATGCAAAGCTGCAACTGCGTTCTCCTTCCCCTTCGCACTGCCCCTCCTGATCAAATTGACAAGGCTGGAGGCTGTGGCGTCGTCCTTCCCAACTATGTCTGCCACAGTTTGTTGCCTGACTAGCAGAGCAATGGCTCCTGCAGCCTCCTCTGCGACTCCTTCGGTCATCAGAGCTTCTACCAGTGCTGATACTGCTCCAGATTCCACCATTCTTGAGGAGCAATCGGGATGTGTGGAGAGATTGAAGAGAGCAGTCACAGCATCCTTCTTCCCTCTTGGCGTTCCTTCCTTCAGCAACAGTGCCAAGGCTTCAATGGCGCCACACTCATCAGCGATTCTCTTTTTGTAGGCATGAACAGCGGAAAGGCTGAAGAGAGTAGCAGCAGCGTTCTCTCTTGCTTCAGTAGTCAATCCGTTGACCAAAACTGAGACGATCGAAGTAAGACAGTCGTTCAGTTCCATGATTCTCATCTTATTGTTTTCGAGTATGGAGAGGTTGAGTATGGCGGTCACTGAGTTTTCCTGTGTGCTGGGATTTGGTGAGTTGAGAAGCTTCTCAAGTAAGGGAATGGCACCCAACTCTGCAATGCAAGCTCGGTTCTCCTTCCCTGTTTTGGCCAACAAGCGTATCTCGAGAGCTGCAACTGTCTTCTCTGATTCAGAACCAATCGTAAGATTTCCCAACAAAATCTCAGCTGTTTTTCGGTTGGCGAAGGAGGCGGCGAAGGAGGATGAAGCAGTAGAAGCAATTTCAGCAGATGCGTCGTAGCCATCGGGGGGATCATAGGGGATTCCGTGAGCTACGCACCACTGAGCGATTAGGTTTCTGAAAGCTCGATTTGGCATAAGATGAGTGTGAGCGAGCATTTGGCCTGAGTTAGGGCAAGTGCAGTGGCCTTCGTCAATCCATTGCGTGATGGAGGCACGATCATAAGTCTGGCCGGAGGAGGTAATCACAGGGTCTCTCATAAGATCCAGAGAAATTGGGCAGCAAAAATCCTTGGGAATTGTGATGGAGGAATCTCCAACTCTCAGAAAAGAAGGATTTATCTTTTTTTCTTCCTCTAGGGATTCAAATAGTCGAAATCGAGAGTACC